AACTGACTTTTTCGCAACAATTTTTGTTCAACTGTAATTTTGCGCCAAATTTTGACCATGATAATGGCAATAATAGTGACCGCCATTGCATATATCGCAATTTTGATTAGCTATGCTTTACTACTTACAATGCGTACTTGACTTCTTCCAATAATTCTCTACTAAAGCATTAAATCCGCGAAAAATTAATGTACAATTGACTTTATTATCTTACACTGGTTACAGTTAGTTAGTTAGTTAGTTATTAGCAATTATCTGGCAAAAAAAAAAAATAAACGCAACAATAACAACAACATCAAACGCTCTTGACACCGAAGCGTATAACGTGAAGTAAATTTTCTTCTGTTTCTCTTTCGCAGTGAATAAGCGTACAATGAAGAAAATGAATGAAAATTATCTCGTTATCAAATAAAATTGATATATCAAGTTTTTTTTCTTCACCAATGTTGTCACATAAATGGTTAAATTAGTTTCTATATCTTAGACTTATACAAACGTCTCCTGAGCGACCGTAGCTAGTGCATCTGCATTTAGTGAGAGTGTGTCATGATTGAGCTTTGGTAAATTCTGCCATACATTCCGCGAATTTAAAACTTTATCTTCTTAAATATCAATACGTGTTTGAATGTGCATTGATTGTCAGCTTAATAGCGTAGATCCACTGTTATTTACCTACAGTTTGAAAATTGTCAACAAATATTAGCGTAAACATTTAATGAACTTGGAATTTTTTATTGAGTTGTTGCCACATTTAAAGTAGGTTACACAAGCTTAAGCACTTCATTTTTCGTTTTATTGTATTACCTCTCTGCTGCAGTTGTTGTTGCAAATTTTATGTATCTTTTCTGGTCTTTTATGAATTTTCTGCGCTTTTTTTCATTTTTCATTTTTCCACTTCGCTTATTTTATTCAATTTTTTTTTTTTTTTTTTTTTTTTTTTGTCAATTTCACTTTAACCGGCCCGGCAGATTATTAACAAATGCTGCCACTGTCGCTTGTATATACATGCATTGCTTTAATGCTCAACACTTATACACGAACAACAACACCTGTCTGCCTAAATGTCTACCGAATTGTTAGCTAAATGTGTGCGTTTTATACGTGAGTGCAATTGAGTGTGGTATACCGTTATCAAATGATTGATATCAACCAGTGAATTTCTTATCGTGAACATTTAACATTTTTTGTATTTATTATTATACGTGAGTATAGAGTTATTTGGAATAAGTATACACTAAGAAAAAAATATGTGTTTTTTAGCTGTGTAAAGAAAAATTTTTTCCTACATTTTATATACACAGATATATACATATATGTACATATGAGAAGCTAAGTAACGTCCGTTGTCGAAGATTCGAAAAACTATTGAAGATCGGTCTTTGTTGCTTAAAGTTGCAGTGCAAGAGTACAATATTATTATCATTGTTTAGGCTTTGGCATCACCTATCATAAAAAATGTACAATAACTTTGTAGCAGTTGAGTACGGGATGATAATACTTTTGATTGGTAACAACCGATTAGATAATCGATAATTACTCGATCAAGAAATTAAAATTTTTTATTATAAGAAAAGAACTAAGAAAGCGAAGTTGGGCGTGTTTCCTCTTTCCTGGCGAGAAGAAAGGGTAATTTTCTTTTTCGGCGACTGTTTCCGAGGGGATAAATGCAGATTATTGTTATGCTTATTCCAATAAAATCACTGAGCCAGTGAAAATAGTAGAAATTACATTAAAGTTCTACTGGGTCAGGCATTTGTTTAATTTATTTCATATTTTATGGCCGAGTGCGGATGTGATTCCGTCGTTTCCGAAGAGCGAACGTAAGTAGAATCGTAGTTCTGTTTCAAAAAAATATCACATGTAGTAACGTTTAATTGCTCCGCTTAATTCGAAGGACTTTGCAAGTGAAAAAAGTGAATGTATTACGATGTCGAAAGATTAAAAAACATAGGAAGTTCCATTTGAGGGTCACCCGGGTGTGATGTATTATGGTTTGTTCCAACCAAATGAAATCGGGGCACACAACAGCAATTAATGTATTACGATTGCGGAAAAAAATTGTCATTATATGCTAAATGTCATGACAGCGTGAGTCTTCAGTATGAAGTAAAACTCGATCAGTAAATGTTTTTTTGTTTGAATTATAATCCATAGAGTTGTATTCTCCCCGCTATTACTAAAAGAGATTATTCCTTTCAATTGACAGGGATTTCAATTATATGGTTGGTTGCTTGCTTGAATGATGTCACCGTTCCTACAACGTTGCTCAAATCTGGGTTATTTTTCGGATAGATTTAAAAGACTAGTTGTTTCTACAGCAAGGAATTCGTTTTATTTTTTAAAGATAGAAAGAGTAGTGCCTAGCAACGGAAAATATTTTCAATAGTAACCCGTTTTTTACAACAAAGTCTCGAATGTCACAAAAGAAACGGCCTAAACAATACTATACACCTAAAATACGTATGATATTCAACGCATTATTATTGTTTTTCATATAATATAAAAAATTATTGCGACGTCAATTAAGCTTTTACTCTTTAAGCTCAAATGCATTTAAAGCATAAATCCCAAGTCCGAAAAAGCCGATCATGTAAACACACCTGCACAAAAACCTGATTAAGAAGAGCAAATTTTGTAAGAAACATCAATTGAATAAAAAAATTTATGTGTCTATCTAATGCAAAAATGATCTTAACGAGCGGGGAAAAGCTAATATTCTTACACTTAAATTTTAGCAGGGCTAAATTTATTTGCTTGATACTATTACATAAAAGGTAAGTTACTCCGTATTTTTTCCAATCATTTTCATTTTCTATTTCTACACCAGAATAGAATAGAAATTTATTTCAAAACTAATTAAATGTTGCAGAGAAAACTTGAACTTAATGATTGAAACTACATGATGAATACTAATTTAAAATATTTTTTTTATTTATTTGAATGGATGTTCGTCTTTATATCCTACAGCACTTGTATGTGTTAGTTTGTGCGGACGTATGCAATATGCAGAAGGGCTTAAGATAGACCCACCCTTTATTGTACCGATCGAGAAAATGAGTCTGAATCGAACTAAGTCTGTCTGTACATTCAATGCCTGTCCATGTAAGATTCTTGTCAAGCTACAGGTCGCGATTTTCGGGATATTTTGATGAGATTTGATATACTGGCGTCCTTTGGCCCAAGAATGCTATTGAACGTAGTTTGGATCCGTTCACTCCGCACACCACGCCTATTTTGATGAAATTTGATATACTGGCGTCCATTGGCCCAAGAATACTATTGAAAGTAGTTTGGATCCGTTCGACCCCCACGCCACGCCTTGTGTCGAAAACTCGTTACAGGGCAAAAAGGCAATTTTCAAAATTTCCCGCCATTTTTTTAACGCTTTCTCATAAAACCGTTCGCGCGAAAACTAAATCTATACACAGCAAAAAGATATAATTTTTAATATTTCATGGTGAAAATAGTCTTGGTTCAGAATAGCAAATTGGCCCAAGTAGGTCTGCTTTTTGGATACCACCGCATATAAGAATTCCTTTTATGGCTTGCAGGAAAAGTATGCCTTTGCATGAAAATAACGATCAATTTTTGGTGTATTATTACCAAAATGAGTGAATAAATGTATTAAGCGAAGTCGCGTACAATTAGTCAGAAAAGAAATTCGCAAAGAGATAGGAAGGTGTATGGCCGCAGCTTAGTGAGTGGCCCAGCCGGTAAGTATTATGCCTTTCTCAACTGAGCACTCACTATAACTACGACCGAAGTAAACTCTACCGCGCTTGAGTTCTATTTATTAATAAAATTTTTTTCTTCTTTGGTTTATTTTTACTTCGGAGAGTATTTCAAGAAGAATGCATACAAGATCTTTGCACGCTATTTCGTTCGTCTAAATTAACATCTGCGTAGCACTGCCAAGTCTTTTCAAAGGCCATTTATTTCGGTACAAAGTTTTTTACGAATACCGCCTCAAGATCACTAAAATCAACGCACCTTAGGTTATTAACACTCTATTAAGCATTTGGAAAATTACTTTCGCTCTTTAAAATCAAAGCAGGCGCGTTTATTACATCATTATTCTATTATTATAAATTCTTCGCAAGTACATGCACAATAAGTTATAGTAAACAGATTTATATCCAGATTTTATTCGCAAGGTATTGCATTTACTTTCCAACCCAGGGAAGTTCATTTCGCAATATATTGGTTTTACTTCACAGACACGAGAAGTTAGCGATATTTTAAATTCGCAATTTAGTTTGCAAGAAAGAGAAATGTATTGTCTTGATCACTAATACTATTCTAGGAATTATATCCATGGGTCTGTCGGACGCTTATCTGTGTTTCAATTATTCCACGATGCGAAAATCAAAATACTGAAGGATTTGAAAAATCTAGCACCTAGATGTGAAGGATGCGTGGACTTTGCGAGAATCAAAAGTTAGCCTAAAAAGTATCGTCGACGCGATAATTAAAATACTCCACTATGAACTTCACGATGAAAAAATAGTTCAAGTAACAATCGTTCTGAACTAGTATCATGCAATGACCTTAGGTACAGTGGATATCCAAGATTCGCTTAAGATTTTTTTATTTATTATGGTTTCGTCTGTTGCATTATTCATAACAACAATTATTTATTGTTTACTAATTGAATGTTTGCTATTTAATGGTATCCGTCTTGCTATTGGTATTGTTGTTGTTATTATTATTCTTATTATTGTTGTAATTATTTAATATGCAAACAAAAATTTCTTCCGGGAATCATTTGCAATTTCTTTCTCATAAATTATTTACCACAAAACAATTGCAATTTCTTAGAACAAACAAAAAAATGCTTTGCATTTAAACGATCCCGTTACTCCGTGGAACATATGCTTGTGTATGGAGAAACAATAAAACTGCTCACAATCATTAAATTTAAACCACATAAATAATTTTGGAGGCAACTGATAAAAAAAACAAAATGAAAAAATTGGAAAAAGATTATGAAAAACACTTACTGGGCCGTTTGTTGTTTTCTTGTATGTATCGGTCACGAGCCTGCTGCACTGCTTTCTCATTCCCGACTTCGGAATATTTTTGTTCTGTTATAACACCAGGAGCCGAGTCACGTTGCATTTGATCATTTATGGTATTACGATATGGTTCATCATATGGCTCATCATCAACATAATCTTGCTGGAAGGAAAGCAAAATAAAATGAGCATTCGTTGCTTAAACGAAAAACTTTGAATATCGTAAAGATTAGGTAAAAACAATGGGCTAACAGTAGCGTTATTCGCACACAATTGCAAATACTCATTTATTTAGTTCAATGACTTGAGTTTATATTATAACGTTTTCGGTTCATATCAAAGCCAAGTAGTGGCGTCAAGTATTTTTTTTCTTTTCTCTTCTTTTCTTTTCTTTTTTTTTTTTAATATTCTTTTCTATATATGTTTAAAAAAAAATCCTCGTTTATAAAATTGCGCATACAAATGCATGCAACTATTGAGACTACATTACTTTTTGGCTTCTGTTTTCACAGCCACACATACATAGATCTGAACATACATTCAAACACAAGCGATATCACACGGTCTTTATATTGTATTTCAATTGCACTTTAGTTGTCAACATTGGTCTTATACCGTCGATAACTGGGAGGGTATCAGTATCAGATGTAAAGTGGAACACATTATACTTTGTATGGGTATATGTATGTATATATGTATGTGAATGTGTAAAATACATACATACATGTATAGATGTAAATAAGCACAGGCCGTGCCATAAGTCAAATAGTTGTGAAAATTTGATATTTTTGCAAAAGTTTTAGTTTATTATAAGTGCTATACAAATATTGGCACCCGTCAGCGTTTACAGTAAATTGTATTATGTGACATATTTACAATGCACATATGAATGCACATATGTATGTGCGCAGAGAGTGAGATTTATTTAATATGAATTTAAATCATTTGAAATTGCTGTTGCAAGGTAAAGCATAAACATTTTTATACCCTATGTCGACAGAACTAGACTTGACTACAATTGACAATAGACCCACTTTTTTTTTTTTTTTTTTGATGTCTATATGCTTGTTCATATTAAACCATGCACTGAATGCAGATATTGACTTACTGGTATGTTGCAATACTGCATTCCATTCGGAACAAGCTCTACAAGTGAACAAGAGGAATATTTGTAGCGTTGTTCTTTAGTTTGCGACGTCCAGAAAAGTACACCCTAGAGACCGTAACGCGTAGAGTATCTCATTTCACTGATTGTTTCATTTTCACCAGTTTTAAAAGTCGAAACATTGTCAAGTGCAAATAGTCAACTTTCAGCCTGTGCTAGTTCGTTAAAATATCGTCAAGACATTTTTCATCTAGCAAGTGTTACTTTATTGCTCTAAAGGAAAGTGCAGTTCAATGCTAAAGAAATCGTATGGTAACAATCTCTATGCAAGTAAAGATATACAGAAGCTCTTTGTGGGTAAAGGGAAACGAAAAGCTTGAATTAAATTAAATTAATTTAATTAAAAAGCGAAATTTTCAGTTGACGGCGAACATTACACATATGAAATGCTTTTCCATAAAAACCCAAAGGGGCGAGATTTCCTAGTTTGTCTTGCTGGATAAACCAGCGGCTTCAACAGTAAGACATAGTTAAGTCTAGATGGGTTTTCGATGCGTATCAAAAATGTAAATACTGCAAGAGTTCTCCGACAGCTTAAAACCACGCGCTTGCAATGGAAATCATTGATCGATAGGAACAAAGCACATTGGGCACAAGGTGTCGCATAGAAAGTAGTCGAAAAAGAGGTGCGGTCCGAAGTATTATCGATAGTTTGCGCGCTTGTTCCAAAATACGTCAATGTAGCAAATTTCATTAAAATATGTAAAAAATTTGCCGCCTGCGGATTGTACGCAAGAAAACGAGCTAGACGGATGGGCAAACACGCAAGCGGACCGACAAGCTCAGATCGATTCAGAAAATGATCAGAAACGTTGGAAACAATCAATTTCAATTTAATTCTCTTTCCGTTATACCCGTTTTTTTGCGTGATGTTGGCATATAACCGTTGCATCTGAAACGCAGCTTCCACCACACAAAAGCGTACACAAACATGGCTTTGTGGGCTAAAGGGACGTCATCAAGTAGAGTATTCTACGAAAGCTATTTGAACGAATTGTTGCTCGAAAACTAGCTTTCTCTGTTAAATCATCCATTTGTTCATTTTAGCATGCCTTCAAGCAAGCAAGCCCAAAGGTAATCTGTTATAATGCTCTTATATATAGTACACTGATTTTGTCAAGGCCTTCGGCCGAATTAATTATAGGCTATGGATTTCCAATAGATCTTCAACACTTCTTCTGAACTCCATCCCCTCCACGGGGCTTTCATCGACGGCGTGTGATTCTTAAAGCAACTATTTAAGATCTATTTTGCTTGTCTGGTACGTTAATGAATTTCTTCTCATAATTAAGTCTGATTATGTTTAACTTAGACTTGCGCTCCCGTCTCCTCCAATTCGGTTTTAGATATACCCAGCTTGATACAGAATTACTTTCTGATTCGATCCAAGCTTGCCTGTTCGTCGTGTTCAACTTACATTTCGCAATTTTTAAGATATTTTGATGAAATTTTGAGATTGCGACATGTTTCGATCAAACGACGAATGTTATTGGTAATGGTTCGGATCAGACCACTTTTTCGACCACTTCGCATATAAAACCTTATTTGAAAAGTCGTTTTAAGCATAATTTCATTAAGGGAACTGGCGTAGGGTATTTAATGACGGGCGGTGTTCCATTGCGATAATTTAATTTGTTCATGTGTATCAGAGAAGTGGACAGTTTCCAGGACTAGGTAAGAAAAATACATTTTTGTTTTTGCTATGTTCAAGTTTATCACCACAGCACTTTCAACATTGGCACAATCAAACCAAAAATTTTCTTAGATTATTTTTTTTTTTTTTTTATAGAACGAATGTCTTAAGACATTCCTTGTCCGTTCTTTACGGATTTGCATACAGATCATAGTCATTATGGGTCAGATCATGAGGACACGTTGAGTGCGGCAACAATTCCAACTTTAATTTATGCAATTTTGCCATTGTACCCATCGACTTTCTTACACGGTGCATTTGACCCACAGTGAGCACTTATTGAGAATAACGATGCCTTTTGAAATCTTTTAGTCAATAACCATCCACATCGTTTGGACTTGCGCTACGTTGAGCACTTCGTTTAAGATCGGACAAGTCATTCTTTTCCATGATATTTTTAGAACCAAAGATCACCTTGAACGGTATTTTTTCGCATACAAAATCAAGGTTTACTTAACGCATGAAACTCGAACATGAAACTTGAACTCCCGCTGTTTTGAAAACGGTATCTTGTAAAGAGCTAATCAGAACTGAAACTTTCACAAAAACAATATGGATTTCTTATGTTAGAGGGGACGTCTGCAAGTCCGCCGCAGGAATTCTTGATCGATGGATTAAATTTAGAAACACACAAATTAATATTACTCTTCAACTAATTCATGATTTGTAATTGTGTTAGTAAATGAATCGGTCTTATTCGTCGGTTGCGTACGAAATGAAAGTCATTTTAATTCAAAAGAAAACTCTACGTTTTAATGATGAATCCAAGCTATAATAAAATGCAATATAATGTAATAAATATTTTTTAATGCTCAATTTGTTATTAATCATCAATTTATTATTATCAATGAATGAAAAGTAGAAGAGTAAAAGATTTTCGACACTCTGTGGATTATAATGATCGAATAAATCATCAACACTTGAATAATGGTGCCAGCAAATTGCTAACAACCATAAAATTGTCTCATAAATATGCAAACAGAACTTGCATATAAACGCGTACATATTTTTTTTTTTTTTCATGTATATAACCAAAGTTTCATATTCCACAAAAAAAAAAAAAAAAAAAGAATAAATAAATAAAAAAATTTGTTTTTTCTCTGCGGCAGGATACAGCTGTTCTTGTTGTTGCTGACGGTGGTGTTGTTTGGCTGTCAGTTAAGTTGAAATTCCTAATATGCACATTCATAAACTCCGCAGCATATGTCTACGTATATGAAGGGTAGTATAATAGTTTTGTTGTATCGTCTGTAATGCCCAACATCCCAGAAGGTCCATTTTTAGTCTCACGTTTGCCGTTTTGAAGCCATCTTTCCTGACAAGCGTCCATCTAATGTTGAAATTGTCACAGCAAAGTTCATGTATTCTTGATCTGAATCGATCTAAGCTTTCCAGTCTATTCACCTGTGAAATCGTGTAGCAAAAATGAAGATATTGCCTAAGGATTGGAGAAAAAATTTAAAAATGACCCAAACCAATCAAAGCATCCGTCCGCAACGCTCACACGTTTATGCAACAAAGACTGTGAACATCTTTGTTTTCTGTGTTTCTTGCTTGTTAATCATAATGTACAACACATACACCATATAAATTTGAACTTTCCTTCTGGAATTAGAAAAAATCAGACGCACCCGCCCCATGTCATGGAGTATGAAGGTTTAGCTTTTTTCCTTACTTTTTAGTCCTTTCTAGGATAACTGTGATGAGTGTAAAACATTTAGTCATGACTGAGTGTAATTTTCTTGTCTGTGATTCATATTGGCGACAACCTAAGGTTTAGAACAAGGTGCAATACGAAAATTGGTTGGAATGATCTTCAAGACTCTCTGAAGGATTGCAAAGAAAAAAAAATCGGCTAATACTTAACAGAAGTCTTGCAATAGATGAATCTGATGCGCATTTCCCTAGTTCATGATTATGTTGTTTTAGTTTTCATCTATGTTGCTATGGGTCAAAGTCTATAGTAGACTTTCGTTAAGGATCAATAAAACAATTCAGTAACTTTCGCAACTAATCCGTTATCAAGATTTAACACCGTTGTAGGCGTTCCGATAAATCGGGTAAAAAAATTCAAATGTCGGATGAGGTAGTTAGTGTCTTCGTGAAAACAATATGTAAAAGTACATGGAATAAATGGAGTCTTTACCGTTGCGAGGGAGAGTATTGGATCTCGAACCAAGCTGCAAGACGAAGTAATCGCTTTATTGAAAAATGAAATTGTTCTGATGTTTCCCTAATGGAAGCTTTTCTTGCCGGGTTAGAGAGTCATAGCTGAGAATCAAAATAGACTTTATTAAGTAGTTTG